ATGGAGAGCCGTTAACCATTATGCAATTTAGCCTGCAGTACCACTGCTCTACCCATATGAGCAGCAAAAACACATTTTTAGACCAATTAGATTTGAACAAATACGCACAAAAACATCAAAATTAGCACAGAAACAGTACTATAACATTTTAGACACATTCTAGACAGTTTATCAGCTAAAAAAAAAGTTAATTTTGGGTTAAGTTACTCTTTATTATCGCACATAGTAAGTTTTTCCAATAATGTTCAACCCTAGTTTAAACTGTCACCAGGTGTGAGTGACAACATGAATTGTGTGAGGACACAACAACACAACAAACATGTTGTCTTTGAGCTGCACAGACACAAGCAGCACTGTAGCAGTCAGAAGCTAGCCAGCAGCTCGGCTCCTGCACAAACCCAACAGAGCCGTGTGTCAGTGTCCTCTCTGGTACCTACCCCATGTTAGCAGGGTTCTGACGCCGAGCCGAGTCCAAAATGATCCGCGTGTAGCGCTGGCTGTTAGCCGCTGCTGCCGCTCCGCTGCCCGCTGTGGATTCACGACCTGCGAGCAGAACCAGCCAGCTGCTTCCAGCCCGACATGTTTGTGTTGTTACACACCTGGGCACGTCCTGCTGGCTGCTTTCAGCGGAGCAAAACGTGTCGGAACAGGCATGATGACCCACAACAACACAAGCTGCTGCTGCTGCTGTTAGCAGACTCCCCCTCGCTTTGTCAGCGGGATTATCGAGCTGAACTGGCCCGAACTGACAGCTTGGTTTATGGCACGGTTCGGCTGGTAAAATCATCCATAAATATTCGGACTTTATCCATTCAGTCAGTTTGTGGAAATAGTAGCTGGTGAGAATAAATAAGCAAAAACCGCACTTCTTAATCCTAATTTTTCAGTTTAAACTCAATTCGCCATTAAAGAGATATTATAGAGATTTGATGTTGCTGCTCGGTGCTGACAGACATCCTCTCAATCTCTTCTTGAGATAACAGGAAAAAAATACTCCTGTGTGGGTTTTATGATCAGCGGCTCCATCCGTGGAGGTCAGCCCTGCTGTTCATCTCAGCTCCTTCATCCGTTTGGTTCCGTCGGTGTTCGTCTGAAAGCAGGACTCAGAGGAGGTCAGACTGCGGTGCTTCTTGAGCTGGATCATCCTCCTTCATCTTCCACTCTGACCTCTGCTAGTCCCCCCTCCGATTCACAGCTTCATCCCGACGCTCCAATCGGAGGGGGCGGGGCATGGCGTCGTGAAGGTAAGACGTCATCACGTAGAGTTTTTCAGTTGACGTGTGTGTGTAATTACAGGTGTCCACTTACAGCAAAAATTACAAAAAACGTTGTATTATCAAAATTGCAAATTTTGCTCATTTTCAACTATTCAATATGGAAGCCCATTTCCGCCACCCTGATTAAAAAATAAAACTTGTATCTCATAATTATGACTTAGCTATCTCATTATTATGACATGGCTAAGTCATAATTATGAGATAATATCTCATTATTATGAGATAATATCTCATAATTATGACTTGGCTATCTCATAATTATGACTTGGCTATCTCATAATTATGACTTGGCTATCTCATAATAATGAGATAGTATCTAATAATGAGATAGTATCTAATAATGAGATAGTATCTCATAATAATGAGAATATATGAGATATTATGAGATAGCTATCTCATAATTATGATATAGTATTTCATAATTATGAGATAGCTAAGTCATAATTATGAGATACAAGTTTTATTTATTTTTTTATCAGGGTGGCAGAAATGGGCTTCCATAATTCAAACTTTTCAACAGATGAAATAAATTTAATTAATCTTATTGTAATTTGGGCAAAATATTTTATCCACAAAATGAAATGGAGTGAAAAAATCCCCTCATGGAATAATTTTAAAGAGTCTGATTTAAAAATGTACACTTGGCTCTATTGAAAAACTCACTTTAAATAATCAGAAACTTGGAAAAACAAGAACAATTTTTAAAAAAAATTTAATATCTCATAACCAGACCCCTTTGTGATATTTTGGTTATATTCATGTTCCATACTGTATTTGTTG